TCGCACTGCTCGAAAAAGTCGCGCAGCACGCCGGGGTCATCGCCTAACCAGCCACACTCTCGCCGATCACTCACTCGTTGTTCGTGGCTGTGCCTCTCGCGCAGCACGCCCGGGGGCGGGCATCGGCTCGCCTAACCAGCCACATCTCTGGGCGACTGATCAACGTATTGTTCACAGCTGCTCCTCGCGCGGCGGCCGTCGGTCGTTGCCGCAAGTCGACGAGTGCCACGGGTTGAGGCAAGCGCCTGTCGATTAATTAGCTCTTGATTTACTCAGTATTAAGTCGACGAGGGGTGGGGCAGGCGCCGGTTAAGTAGCGGTAGCAGTAGCTATAGGCAGCCTTGAGGATCGGACCACTCTCCGCCCTCGCCACAGGAGGAGGCGGGGGGGCGGCTGTGTCCGCATCAACGCACAAGCCCGGGCCAGCTGCCCCGGGCCCGAGAAGAGACGCACAGAGACAGTCGCACGCGACACATGGGCTGTGTGTTCACAGCAGCTCACAGCAGTTCACAGCAGCGCGTCGGAGTGACGGGGCGGGAAGAGGCGCGCGGGCCGGAGCGTAGTAGCGGTGCGGTTGGCTCAGGCTCAGCTACACACCTGCCCTCCCCTGTCGCTAGTCGCTTGGGCGTGTGGGTGGGGGTCAGAGAGATGGAACTGGCTTGCCTACTACCACCTTCTTCCAGCTGTACTACTACCACTATACCTGCCCCGCGCCCGTCGCGAGCCACCAGCGCCGCGTGCGCAGCGACGACGGCCGACGCGTGGGCATGCGAAACGGCAAAGGCGTGCGAGTCCTGTTCACAGCTGCGGGCGGTGTGAAGACAGTGATAGTAGTAGCAGCAGGCAAAGGCAGCGTGCGGGTCCTGTTCACAGCTGCGGGCGGCGTGAAGACTAGCTGCCGCCGCTGCGATCCGGTGCCAGAGGCGAGCGGATCCGAAAAGTGATGGCAGACGCGCAGACGCGCCTACAGTCCATGGCGAACTAGCTGGCTGATGGAGGTGGAGTCGAGGGGAGGCAGCGGTTACTACTGTGCAACTAGCTGGCTCATTCTCCTCTATAGGAGTGGCGTGTGCCCGAATGACTCATTCCTTCTCTCCTCCTCATCGGACATCGCCGTCCGCATGATGCTTGCGCGTTACTCCGCCGCTACTCCGCCGCGCCGTGTCCCAGCCGGTGAATTCATAGTTGAATAAGAGTCGAATCGTTGACTGACATTCCTCAATTGATTTGCGTTACTCCGCCGCGCGCCGTGTCCCAGCCGGTCACGTTGCGGGCGTGCGGCTCGCAGTACTTCTTTGGCGAGTAGTCGAGGTCCACCTGTTCACGGGCGGGCGCTGTGAAGAGACGCGGTGCACGGCGGGCGTGCGAAGGAGGGGGGGGGGGGCGGGAGAGACGGTGCTGCACAGTGACATTCTGTGTGAACGCCCCCCGCTTTTTTGATACACTCCAAAAATCCCTAGGCAAGATTCGGCGAAAACCTCGGGTCCTACCTATCCCTAAACTCCCGGGGTCCGCTTGGGCCCCTTGTTCTTTTGTGGTTCTTCCCCCGGACCCCCCGGAAAAACAGGAACTTTCGGCCTGGGCTCTTCTTTGGGGGGGGGGAAGAGAGGGGCGGGGTAAAGTCTGCCTCCTGCCCCGCGTTGCCCACCGCGAGCTGCAGCTTGTTCGCCCCGTCGGCGGCGGCGGTGGCGGCGGCGGCGGCGAGGAGGCGGGGGAAGTCGCGCGCGGCGCCTGACCTCGTCGAACCTCGCCGGCGTGAGATCTCAATCTCGAGGAGAGAGGGGAGGGGGGGAGGGGGGGGGGAGGGAGGGAGAGGTCGAGCGCGGCGCCGGGCGAGTAGCCGGGCACGAAGGCGACGTCGTCCTGAAGCAGTGTCGGAGGGGGGGGCGGGTGTGTGTTCTGGGGGCGCTCGAGGTGCGGGGGCGGGCTCCTTCTGAGAGGGAGGGAGGGGAGGGAGGGGGGGAGGGAGGGAGGGGGGGAGAGCAGTAGCAGCAGTAGCAGTAGCAGCAGCGAGGTCACGGCTAGTCCCTCCCTCACACCCGACGGCCGCCCGCTGCACACCACGTCCGGCATATCTCGGCGCGATCTCGGCGGCATCTCGGGCTGCATCTCGGCGGCGCCTCAAAGATGGCCGCCCAAAGAACGTCCGGCGATGCGACGCAGGGGTGGCAGCGCGCGGCGAAGCACTGCTGCGCGCGCAGGTGGAAGGCGGCGTTCGCGACCTTGTGCGCCGCTGAGAAGGACGACTCGATGTTGCGAGGCGACCGGCCCAGCCGCAGCACCGTCTCCATCTGCTTGCCGAGCCGGCCAAACGGCGGCCGGACGATGAAGAGGCTCTCGCCGGTGGTCGAGTTGGCCATGCGGACGGGCGAGTCGGCCGTCGGCGACCACGTCACCGCAAAGTCCTGCGGGAAGACGGGAGGCAGCAGCGCGTGGCACCAGTCGCCGGCCGCCGCGCTGAGCCATGCAGCGAGGCGCGAGGCGCGGTCGGGCGTGGAGGGCGAGTAGAAGACGGGGAAGGGCGTGCGAAGGGTGGCCGCGTCGGCGGCCGCCTGGATGGAGAAGAGGAGGAGCGCCGGCGTCGCAAAGGCGCGCATAAATCCGTGCTTCCCTCAGCCGCCGCGAAAAAAAAATAGCCCCGGGTTCGTTCTGGGGAGTCCACCGTGCTGTGTGTGTGTGTTGTGTGCAAAGCGCCGTCGCAACTGCCATGTCGGCAGGTTGTAGGCTGGTGCTCTCGCCCTGCTGGCGGCGCGGACCGGTGCCGCGGCTCCGAGCCCTCCTGTGGGCCCGCGGCGGCTCGCCGTCGCGGTGCCGAACAATGGGATCGGTGCGGATTCATCCCGGCGTGCCGCCGGTGGCGCTTCTTCGCCGAAATTTTGCTCAAGGTCTTTGTCGACAAAGCTGTTCCCGAGATCCTGCTGCTCGACTGCGCGGCGGAACCGGCCCCGGAATGCTGAGATGTGAGGCGCCGGCACCGGGGCTACAACGCGGGGCCATCTCCAGCCTCTCTCTGCTGCTGCTGCTGCTGCTGCTGCTGCTGCTGCTGCTGGTGCAGATGCTGCTGCTGGTGCGGCTCGGCTCTCCGACTTGACTCGCCGCGGGCGTCGCGGGCTTCTGACGCGGCGGGCGGCGTCGCGGGCGGCAGCGATCGCGGCTCGACGGTGGAGGTGGAGGCTGGTGGCTGTGGTGGACTTTGAGTTTATTTAATGGTCGAGTACGAGGACTGGGGGGTCAACCGGGAGGCAGGGGGTTCGACCAGGCGACGGAGGACCGTGGGCCATCGCGGGGACGGGTCCGTCCGGAGGACGAGCTCGGTAGATCCGGATGGTCTTCACGCCGGTGGATGGCACCGAGGCGTCTAGGACGCTACACTCTACCTTAAGCTCCTGAGGGGCGCGTGGTTGTAACCACGTAGTATGACTACAGCCCACCACAGTCACCCTCCCCACTCCTCACGTGTGTTCACACCCTCACCCTCTCCTCTCTCCTCTCTCTCTCTCTCTCTCCTCTCTCCTCTCCTTGTCTGTGCTGTCTGCCTGACTCAGGCGCCGGTGCCGCCGAGGAGGTGGGATGGAGCTGCCCGACGTCGCCTACCTGCAGGGCCACGCGCCTTCGCGGCCGCAGTCGCCCGAGACTGCCGCGGCGGACATGCTGCGCAAGCTGGACGCCGAGGGCGTCGCGCCCTGAGCGAGCGCTCGTGGGCAGGGCAGGGGGGGGGGGGGTGCACAGGCACGGTGCTGCACAGTGACATTCTGTGTGAGCGCACCCCGCTTTTTGATACACTCCAAAATCCTCAAGCAAGATCGGCGAAACTCGTGTCCTACTATCCCTAGCTCGTGGTCGCTGGTCCGTGTCTTGTTGTCTTCCAGGACGCAGGAGACAGGACTTCAGCCTGCTCTCTTCGAGTGCGAGATACTCGCAGGCCCTGAGACAGACGCCAAGAGCGCCTGCCGCGGGCGGTCTCAGCTCTTGTGCCGCGCCACTCGTACAGCGCTGAGTTGGATTACACCATCGTAGGCACGGTGCTTTCATCGTCACCGACGCGATGCGCGAGCAGAGCCTCCGCAACGAGTTTGAGAGCGAGACGGCCAGGCTACAGCAGGAGGCATCTTTGACGCAGCAGCAGCTCGCGCTCCACGCTGTGCGCGACCGTTATCTGGCTCGCGTGGATTTCAACCTTGGGCTGTGTGCAAATCGGTGCCGGTGCGCAAGCAACGTGCCCACAGATACGTGCCCAGTGAGCAGTGTCACGAGCAGTGTCACGTGCCCAGTGTTGTGCACGTCCCGGTGCGCAAGTCACGTGCCAGTGGTGCGCAAGTCCGGTGTTGTGCAAATTGGTGCCGGTGCGCAAGTCACGCACGTGCCAGTGTCACGTGCTTAGTTTATACGTGCCCAGTGAGCAGTGTCACGTGCCCTGACTTGCCCAGTGTTGTGCACGTTTAGGTCTTTTGTGTGCGACCGTGCAAGTGTCGAGCGATTCCGTGTGCGAGTCTCGCCCTCGGCGAACCCGCTTATAGCAAAGAATTCTTAGGATAGCAAAGAATTCTACAATACAAGCCCCTCTCATTATTAGAGCCAGTTTTTGCCACTTCGGTTAGCTCTTGTGGGTCCGATATCGAGACCCAAATATCTGACCCCGGAAATAGAGGCCATGTGATATTTGGGTCTCGGATTTCAAGATTAGAGACCCCTGGAGAGCTAACGAAGTGGCAAAAACAGGCTCTTAGAGACCCCTGGAGAGCTAACGAAGTGGCAAAAACAGGCTCTCATCACAGCAGACTGGCACGAACTAGCACCACAAAAGGCACAGAGCAAAGAAGGGGTAGGGCGTGGGCCTGTGGGCTTGGAGCGCACCCCACCCCGCTCAACGCAAACACTGATTGCCATGGTTGCCTCTCGCCTCGCCCCTCGCCCGGCGCGACGCAGCGCGAGATGAGAGCTGCCCCCGCGCGTGCCCTCTCGCCTCGCCCCACAACCACCACTGCAGCGAGCCCGTGCACGGCTGCACGCTGTGCTGCGACCGCCGCGCGAGCGTCTCGATCCGAGGCTCGAGGGCCATGAATCTGGCGCAGCCGGATTGCGGGCAGAGCGGCCACCTAGCGCGCAGCCGCGAATCGCCTCCATGCCTACTGCGCTCCCGCGACGCCCGAAGCAAGCGCGCGCCATGCTCATCCCATTTATGCTGCTGACTCTCGCTCGCCGCCTCCTGCGCCCTCGCAGATCCAAAACAACGTGGGCGAGACGGGCGTGCCGCGGTGTCCTTGGTGCCGGGCCTCAAGCTGCGTGCGCTGCGAGTAGGTGCGGCCCTCCTGAGTCCCCCGTCCTCTCGATTCCCCCTCTCAAAGAGGCTCTCAAAGTAGAGAGAAGCAGCACTGGTGACCCGGAACACAATGTGCAGCAATCAGAGCAGGAGATTAGCCGAGATTGGCCGAGATTCAGTCAAGATTTCGTCAATTAACATAATTGACGGAACTTTGACGAAATTCGTGAGAATGTGCTGGGGCATCTTTGCGAGTTGACTAAATTGACGAGATCACCCCGAGATTTCGTCAATTAGCATTTAATTACGACATTTGACCTGATTTGGAGCACCCCCCCCTCCCCCGCCCGTGAATATCACACACCCGCCCTCCACCGCCCCCTATCACAGGTACGAGTGAACTCGAACAACAACATGTCAGAGAACAAGACGGAAGTGAAGGCTCGCATCATGCCGGCCGAAGACGGCAGCATCAAGGTCGTCTTCTTCTCCGCGCCGACGTCGCCTCCGCTCCTCGGAGCAAAGGCGGTGCGTGTGCGCTTGTCGTCACAGATCTCCACTCTCCTCCCAACACGCTCCCCATTCTCCCTCGCCGACAGGCGAGCGGCGCCAAGAACGCACCCGTTGAGGACGTCACCGTGGCCGAGTCCGGCGCGGAGGCGCCCCTCGACGAGAGCATCCTCAAGCAAGACCTGGCCGCGGAAGAGGCGGAGACGGTCGACTCGGACCGGGCCAAGGCCATGTTTGCCGCCCACAAGCCGAGCGCGGACGCCGTTTTCTGGTCCAAGTTTGAGCGCCCGACCGACCCACCGCCCGCCCGCACCGGCGTCACCAAGAACGGCCCGGCGCTCGAGCCGGTCACCGAAGACTCGCCGGCTCTCGAGCCGGTCACCGCCGGCGGCGCGCCGCTGCCGTCGATCAAGGAGTTTCCGGAGGAGGAGCCTGCCGCGGCGGCGAGCGCCTGACATTCTGCGCGCCGGCGTCTGCCAACCCACTACCTGACCCCGTCCCGCGTTCGATGCGTAGGGCGACGCCGACTGGAACGTCTCGACCAAGGAGTTTCCCGTGGAGGAGCCCGCCCCGGCGGTGAGCGCCTCCCAGCACCCTTCTGTGCACACGCGGGTATTGCGGGGACGAGGGAGTCCCACAGGTGGGCACACTTATATTGATCCTGTGACCTCTCGTCTCTGCCGCACGTCACAGGGCATCGACGAGTGGAAGACCCCCTCCCCGCTCCGCAAGATCGAGCGCAAGGGCGAGTCCAACCTGGTCGACCGCTCCAAGAAGACCACCAAGAACCTCACCCCGATCGGCCGCGTCGACCCCAATGGATTCGCTGCGCTGCTCGGAACGGACGTCGACGAGGAAGACCTCGCTGGCGTCGGCTCCGGCAAGGCGTCTGTCAACGACGCCCCGCCGTCGTCGACGACGCCCTCGGCGCGTACCGCCTTGCCCGTGTTAAGCGCACCCTGCCTGCTCGTGACAAACCCTCGTCCGCACTGTCCAGGGCGGCGCCGGGGAGAAGACCGAGCCGACGTCGACGCGCTCCGGCTTCGGCTTTGGCATGTTCGGCTCGCCAAAGGGCAAGTTCTGCTCGTCAAAGCTGCTGTGCGTCATCGTCACCGTGGTGATCGGTCTGGGCTGCTCGGCCTTTGCGCTCTCTTCGCACGGCTCGGGCGGCGTCTCTGAGCACCTCGAGTCGGTCTTCGTGCCTGACGCGGCCGCGATCCCGGTGAGCGCGATGACTGGGGGGAAGCGGCTAATGAAAGTGTAGATCAGCAGCGTTTGACGACCACCCCCTTCTCTACAGTCTCGCTCCGCGGCCGACGACAAGTCGACCACCGACAAGTCTAGCTTCACGGCGGGCGTCATCGCCGAGGCAACGGATACACACACGCGTACACCTCTTGTAAGGGTCGATGGAGTAGCATTTCGAGAGTCCCAATGCAGCAGCAGCAGCAGGCAGGCAGGCAGGCGGGAAGCTGACGAGAGAGAGTAGACTTGCGGCGTTTGACGGACCACGCCCCCCCGCTTCGCTACAGTCTCGCTCTGCGGGCGCCAGCGAGTCTAACTCAAAAATCATCGGCGCCGATGAGGCAGGCGTCGTCGCAGAGGTGGTGGCCGTTGCCCGAGGCTCAGTCGTCGCACCGCGCCGTGGCCTTCAGAATTCCTGCAGCTGCTCTACGTCGTGGCAGTGCAGTGCCGTTGAAGGGTGCGCGGCTTTTATGGCTTATATGGACTGCTACGAGCTATGCATCTCAAATCAGGCTCTACTGCAAAATTGCCTAAATTCCATCGGGCAGTGCGCGGATGTCACCATCTCGTGCAAACCTACGCCCACCGGTCGTGTTCATGTTGGCTGTCTCCCTACCACGTGCAGCCACTTGTGTGATGCTGCCACGACTGCCACGAGCCAGCTCAGCAAAGCATCCCTTGCCATCTTCCTGCTCGGTGCCATCATTTTCGCAGTTGTGGCCAAGGGGTGCTGCGAAAATTGCAACCGACTTTCTCTCCTGCTGTTGGTCGTCGGTTGGCTCTTAAACGCCCTGGCCGCGGCTATCATGACTACAGTTGCGGTTGGCATCGATCAGAAGCGCTGGCCGATCCCGTCCTCGCTCGCCACCTACCTCGGACTACCTGTTGACGACGACCTCTGGCAATGCTGCGAATTTGAAATCTCTCCGGAAATGTTCGCGGGACTCGCTGCGACGTGGTTGGAGGTCGTTGGCATTGCCGTCGCTCTGTGGAAGGTGCCGTGGCTTGCTGCGTGCTGCCCGCGCTCGACGCGGCCACTTATGGTCGAGCATGACGTTTCGGTAGTTGCGATGCAACAACTGCAGGCGTAGCTTCTCAGTCATGCACGTGTGCGCCGCAACACATATCTCGGCACACTGGAGCGGCCTGGTTTGCGCTCTTGCAACACATGTGAGTCGTGACATGGACACCGCTTTCTTTTTTGTTCGTTCTGTGAGGGCAACGTTGCGTTCTGTTGTTTATGCGCCAGCCACAGCGTCTGAGGGTGGGCGTCTGAGACGAAAAAGTGTCCGCGGCTGTGAGCTGTGTCGAGCCTGCACGGACCACGGCATCGCCATCGCGCATCGGAATTCGGCAATACGGCTTTAGGAACAATCAAAGAATTCTGCGAGTTCCCCGCAGGCTCAGTGGGCGACTTTTGTTTAGTAGACATGATTAATAATTAATTCAAATCTCAAATCATACGTCAAACAACCGTGGAGACCATTGACGGGTCAAACATCGAAAAGAAACAAGAGTGACGCTAGACGGCGGCCGAGCGGTGGGTCTGCAGGTCGGGGCCCCGCTGCTGTCCGGGGAGCGTCGACATGCTGATCTCTCTGCGCGCAACGCGTCTGCTGCGTTGCCTCGTCCTGATCCACCAGGCGAGCGCGAGCGCGAGGATGGCAGCGGCAATAAGCGCGGGCACGATCCAGAGCGCCACGGCTATCGGATTGCGCAGGGGCGGCGGTGGCGACAGCGGCGGTAGGGGTGGCGACGGCGGCGACGGCGGCCACCCTGGCGGCGGCGGGGCTTGGGGCGGCATTGGGAGCAGCTGCTCGGAAGAGGAATTCGTGGCACGTCGGTAGCTGAAGCGGCCGTCATCAGCGGTCCACTCAAGCCACTCCACGTCAAGGTAGATGTCCTCCTCGATGAGGTGCAGCACCATCGTTTTGCCCGCGATGCTCCTCATGCGGTAGTCGGCCGCCGCCTTGAGGGTTTGAAACTTCAGGCCGAGCATGGCGTCCGTGGCGCCCTCCGCCCACTCCGTTCCTTGAGGGCTGGTCCCCTTCCAGCCTTCGCCACGATCAGGCGAGCCGCCCGCCGCGACGTTGATCAGCGAGCCCTTGTCGTTTCGGGTAAGCACTACGTTGTGTGTGAGCGCATCCTGGCTTTCTTCGAGGTTGGAGTCTGCGTACGGCGCCTTGCGGAAAATGATGGCCGGCCCTCTCCAAACCGTGGCGTACAGCGTCGGCCGTGGCGAAGGTGGTGACAGCGACATTGCAGTGTCACCACTTCCGCCGCTGCCACCGCCGCCGCCGCCGCCGCCGCCGCCGCCGCTGCCATCGCCGCCGCCGCCGCCGTCTCGAGGTGGATATCCTTTGGCCGCGTTGGGTACATGTAGCGAGGATTGGTGTAACCCGAGCCACGGAGGCGTGTTTTCTGACGGCCGACCGTCAGTGCACGGACTTGCCCCTTCTCCGACTGCCCCGGCTAGCCCTCTCTCCTGCTCTAAGCGCCTGCCGTGTGGGGCTCCTGCTGGCTGTAGTGCTAGTCGTGGGCGTGTGGAGCACCCCTTGCCGCTTGCCCCACCACTTTCTGTGTGGGGGGAGAAATGTGTCTTATACCTTACCCTACCACGCCGTCTGCACGTACCGCCACGTTCTGCAGCACAAACCCTATTGGGTGCCGGCACGAGCCCGCACGAGCCCACGACACCGTGTATTACCCGTTAGTCGTTGCTCGTTCTCGTCTCCCGCGTCCCGGGGCGGGGGCGCGAAACCTGTCCTCCCTCGTTTCGCGTTTCCCACTGAGACAAACCACTTCTACGTTCTAGTTCTCTGGGTAAGAAAATTTTCAAATTAACACCCGAACTCCCTCGCGCGACAGGCGCGCACTTTTACACGCCTTGGCCGCGAACCACGCCTGGACTAGGCACCAAACGGCGCCCAGAATCGCCAAGCAGACGCAATCGGCCAGGTCTTCCGACTCCTCCCCCGCTTGGGGCAAGACTGCGCTCACGATTGCCAGACGCTCTCCTCGATCAACAACCTCGGCACGCTGCTGTACGCCAAGGGCGACCTGGACGGCGCGGAGGCGCTGCTCCGCGAGGCGCTGGAGGGGTGCCGAGAGACGCTCGGCGACCAGCACCCGGACACGCTTTTCTCCATCAGCAACCTCGGCGCGCTGCTGTCGGCCAAGGGCGACCTGGACGGTGCGGAGGCGCTGCTTTGTGAGGCGCTGGAGGGGAGGCGAGCGACGCTCGGCGACCGGCACCCGGACACGCTCACCTCGATCAACAACCTCGGCGAGCTGCTGCAAAATAAGGGCGACCTGGACGGCGCGGAGGCGCTGTATCGCGAGGCGCTGGGGGGGGGCCGAGAGACGCTCGGCGACCGGCACCCGCACACACTCACCGTGATCCACAACCTCGGCATGCTGCTGGAGGACAAGGGCGACCTGGACGGCGCGGAGGCGCTGTATCGCGAGGCGCTGAAGGGGTGCCGAGAGACGCTCGGCGACCGGCACCTGCTCACGCTCACCTTGTCCAACAACCTCGGCGAGCTGCTGCGGGAGAGGGGCGACTTGGACAGTGCGGAGCCGCTACATCGCGAGGCGCTGGAGGGGCGGCGAGAGGCGCTCGGCGACCGGCAGCCGGACACGCTCATCTCGATCAGCAACCTCGGCTTGCTGCTTCACAACAAGGGCGACCTGGACGGCGCGGAGCCGTTCTGTCGCGAGGCACTGGAGGGGAAGCGGCAGACGCTCGGCGATCGGCATGTGGCCACTCTAACTACGCCGACCTTCTCCGCGAGAAGGGGGAACTGCACGCCGCGAGGAGGGCGATGGGCGATGCGCCAGGGGTTGCGCGAGAGACAATCGGAGCGGACCACACACCGACTCTCGTCCTCGCAGCCAAGGCGGCACGCATTGCTATCGCGCTTGGAGAAGCTGATACGAACGCCTTGACCGAGGTCATCACGCGCATGGAGGCGGCGCTGGGTGCCGAGCACCCGCAGACGCGCAAGTATAGGTCGCTCGTCTCAGCGTAAGGCGAAGGTCGGTCTGACAGCGACTCAGCGAGCTGTGAGCTGTGAGGCCCGCGCAACATTTTGATTTTGTATCGCTGTCTTCTTCTCAATTTCTCCTCACAATTCTCTTTGACTTTTTGTTCTTTCAAAACTCCCCGCAAGTCGCGCAGAAGAGAAGTGGCCAAGGAAAGAGGTTAAGAGCTCCGCGCAGCGAAACCCCTCGAACGACAGCCGCGCTACGATCAAAAAGCAGCGAGGCCCCTCTGAGATCGAGATTTGTGAGATCCGTCCGCTACCCGCGAGTACACTTCCGGGCCGGACGGGAGCTGGAGGCGCGGCCGCGGTCCCTGTCATAGCTACGCGCGCCATGGGGCTTCACAGTACTCACAAGTGCCTTTGACGAGACTTCCACCTTCCAGCTTCCTTCACTGCAACCCTCCCCTCCCCCCCAGCAGTGAATGATAGACGCCCAGCCCCCCTTTCGACCCGTGCTATGATGTAACTTATTCCGGGGCCGGTGTGCGGGGAGCGAACCTTAACGACCGCCCAGAAGCTTTCTGAGCGAACCAATCGGGCCGGGATCATCAGCATATGTCCCCTCCACAACATCGTGGGCGTTTGAGCGGTATTTGAGGAGTATCGCCACTCTGAAGTTCGGCCGGGTGGTCTGCAGACCCCCCCCCCCGGAGCAGCAGAGGCTCCGTGGGGTCGCAAAGTCGACGCTGGGAGTCGCACTCGTCAAGCCATCGCAGCACCACGCGGTCCGCACGTACCGCCCACATCCCCTCCACCGCTGAGAAGGCGCAGATCGACCGCCGGGCCGCGTAGTTGTCGTTAAGGAGCGGTTTTTGGAGCCGTACGAAGAGGTCCCAGACGGGCGAACATGCGGTTTTTCGACGACCACACGCGATGTGGTATCTGGTTTTTGCTAAAAACGGGCCGCCTAGTGCAGCATCACTAGTACAACACGCAACCACACTGAGAGCTCCACACTAGCCGGTATAGGCGAGCCCCGGCGGCCTCACCGTCGCCGCTCGCGGCGGAGCCGACGGCGGAGCCACGGGCGGGTGCGACCTTTTGGGGGGACATGAGCTCGCCAGGACGTCACCGATGGCTCGGCGCGCCTCTTCCCGCCTGCGCGGGGCGGCCTACCTACAGGAGCGAGGGGGAGGAAGACGGAACTGAGCACTAGGTTCGTGACCCCGTCGCCGGCAACGGCTGGGAGAGGGGCGGCAAGCGACGGGCGGGTCCGCGACCTTTTGAGCGGCCGTGAGCCGGCAGGGAGGCCGGCGATGGCTCGGCCAGCTCCTTCCCGGCGGGTTCTCGTCGGGCCGTGCCTGGTCGGCGGGGCGGGTGAGGTGAGCGGGCCCGGGAGTCGCATCTGCGCGTCCCCGGCAGTGGTAGTGTGGGGGTAGATGGGAAGTGCGGAGATGGGAGGCAACGCGCCTGTTTGATGGCCGCACGAGGCAAAGTTGGGCGCTCCGAGCGCCCTCTCGGCGAGAACGAATGGGCTGTGCATCGGTCAGAGCGTCATTGAGAGGGAGGTGGTCGTACGCTCACTTTGTCGGCCGCGCGCGAGGTGAATACTGGGTGTGAGGCGCGCAGGAGGCGAGGTTGGGCGCGCCGGCGGTCGAGCCACCGAAGAATTCGACGTGGCGCAGCTCCGCGCCGGCGGGGACGACCGAGTACATGATGTCGGCGGCGGTCACGCGACGAGGGAGAGCCGCAGGAGCCCTCTGTGGAGCAGGCGCGCGAAAGCAGCGATGAGTGGAGCCGCGATCAGCCACCTGTGGGCGGTCATCGGGGTCGCGGTCAAGCTCGCGACGGGGTGAATCTGGTGCGTCTAGTATCACTGGTGGGCTGGGTGTGCAGCAGCGGCGCTCAAAAAGAGGGAAAAAACTCGACAACTGTTTGGAGTGTCTACATTCTCGAGGCACCGTTCTCGGCCCGGCCGGAAAGCTGGCTGGTGGTCGCGCGCGGCGCGTCAGCGCCACTCCGACTGGCCGGGCACCTCGGCTGGGTCCATCGGCAAGAGGCCCGCGCCGTCGGCCAGCCCCGCGAGCGCATGGGCGGCCGGCGCGAGCGGAGAACGACGGGCCGAGATCGGCTGGTTTGGCACGAAAAACGAGAATTTTACAACAAAACTCCCTCGCACGACACTGGGCACAGGACTGGGCACGGGACTGGCTCGCACTGGCACTAACACAGGTACACTACGGGAGCCGCCTAAGCGACTCCTGCGAGGGTGGCGAGGCACTTAGCTCCGTGCACCCGCCCACCCCCGCCACAGGCAAGCTCATTCACAATCTGCTCTGCATCGTACAGGTCCGACTCCAGCACGTCGGAGCCGAGCTGGTGCACCTGCCGCTCCTCGTTCATGTGCTTGGCTGCCGCCTTGAAGGCCTTGGATTGGTTCGCCAGTCCGAAGCCCCGCGGCCCCTGCAGCGCGCAGCGCGAGCACCGAGCCGCGGGCGTGTCCCTCCGATCTCCGGGAGGGTACGCACACAGCACCTCGGGGATCTGAGGAACGCCCGGGGCGCCGTCATTGATGATCTCGCACACGGGCCCCTCGTCGTCGTCCGCCGGGGGCTCCTCGCCGCCGCTGTCCATCGCCGCGTCTGAAGCGGCGGCCGGTGCCGCGTTGGCCCGGGGCGGCGGTGCGTTCCCCTTCGGTCTGAGATGCCGATTGCCCAGCCCGTCAGCAGCAGCGGCCACCCTGGCGATGGCGACGCAGTGCTTGTCGTGCTGGAGGAAGAGGTGGAGCACGTGTTGTGGCGTCGCCACCGCCGTCGGCCACGTGATCTGCGCCATGCACCGCTCGTCCGAGTCGAACTTGATGGAGTCGACAATAATCGGGACGCCGAAGAGATCGGCGACACCCAGTAGAAATCCATCGCATCCCCACGCGTTGGTTCGGACCCCGAGGATGAAATCGCTGAGGTCGCGCGTGTCGTTCATAGGCGCATCCGATGAGAAGCCGGCTCTGTGCACCGACAGAAGCAGCTCCCGCACCGTCGTGGGGTCCCCCTGGCCGGGCGGGGCGAAAGGCTGGCGGGGTTGCCGACTCAGCACTCCTGGCTTCTGGAGGTGGTCGGCCACCGCCCTGCGCAGCCTGTCGCTGGCTCGCTTGGCGTCCCAGGCCTGGCGCATGGACAGCAGCCCGTGCGAGGCCAGCACGCTCTCTGGTAGCAGTTTGCGGAGCTGCCATGCGCACGCGGCAATCATGCAGTCGCCGGTCGCGTCTAGGTCCGCCGCCCTCCATTGGCAGTCCTCGCAGCCAAGGGGCGGGTTGTGTTTGTCCTCCAGAGCGCGGGCCAGTAGCGGGAAGCTCCGCGAGCAGACCCCGAGCCGCTCGGACGGGCCGACGGTCGCGTAGTGAGCACCGGACGCGGTGAACAGGGACAGGGCCTCTCTGAGGGCACGGATCGAGTCCATCTCCCAGAGGCGAGCGCCATCCCCCCCGCCCGCTGGCCGCGGCCCGCCCGCGTCGCTGGCGTTGTCGTGCGGAGCCGCGCCTCGGGCCTCGCCACCGTCGATCTCCGTGGGTCGCAGCCTGCCTTCAGGCACTTGGCGCTCGCCAGCGGCACCCCCGAGCATGATCGTGTAGTAGTACTCGGTCGGATCGTCGGCATGGACCTCAAGCACGACGGCGTCCGCATCCGGGTGTTCACTCGCGTAGACGACATGCTCGTCCTTCTGGAAGCGGGGCTTCTCAGCCCGAGGGCCTGCGGTGACGCTGTGGTCGCCCGCCGCCGCCACGCCGCTCTCGCCGCCGCCGCCGTCCTCCGCGGTGTCGACGGGCATCTCGTCCGCATCGTCGTCGTGCTTTCGGCGGCGGTCCTCCCGCGCGGAGGGCGAATGGCGCGGCTCCCTCTTGCGCTGCGGGCGGGCCTCTGGCTGCGAGGGCGATGGCTGCGAGGGCGATGGCGAGGCAGCCGTGCCGCTCGGCTCCGACGGCGATGCGACCGCCTCCGAATTGTCGCGGTAGCCAGATGACCTCTCATACTAGTATCATCGGCCATGGCCGCAGGAAGCGCGGGGGATTCCGCTGGGAGCAACACGGAGCTCCGTTGGACGCGTTTTCAAGATTAGCGTGTCAGAGTGAATTGGAACTAGCCAAACCACGCCTGGGCGTGGATCGCGTCACACCAATCCTCGCTACCCAACGCGGCCAAAGGATATCCACCTCGAGAACCTCGAGAGAGGTCGCGTTCTGTGTGTAACAGCTTGCACGGTCCGTCGCCTGTTGACACTGCGCACTGCCAGCCACTCTGGCCACAAGGGGACAAAGGGTTCTAGCTCGCTATCGACTGTCGTGACTTTTGGAGCACTTGGAGTGCGGTTGGCAACCTCACACCCAGAGCCGGGGAGCTAAGAAGCGCACCCAGAGGGACGGACGATTGCATCGGGCGGCTAGTTTTTATATTACCCAAAAGCTAGGCTACACAACGCCCTCTATGTTGGGTCAAGGCGGGCGCCTAGAAGAAAGCGCCGCCCCCCGAGGGGGAATCCCACCCGTACCCCGAGCCCCCGTCGAAGAGCGCGTCGAAAGCGTCGTCGCCTTCGTCGTACTCCTCCGCGTCAAAGCACCGGACCGGCTCCCCCCGGCCGTGCTCCCTTGCCCAGCGCATCTGCCGAACATGCGCACGCTGCTCCTCGCGCGCCCTCTCCTCCGCGGCGCGCGGCGTCCACCCGGTGGACGCCAACAGCGACTCGAGCGTCGCGCGATAAATCGCCTCGCCTTCCTCGCGTGATACCACCTCGCCCGCCTCCTTCGCCACCGCCTTCTTCCCACGCCGCGATAGCTTCTCGCCGCCCTTGCTCGCCAGCGCCGGCGATGCCGTGGCGCGCCCACCGCGCCCGCGCGCCCGCGCCTGAAAGGTAGCCCTGCCGTGCCCGACGTCCCCCCGCGCCCGAAGGATGACCCGCGCCTCCTCCTCCGTCACGGGCGTCTCGCGACCCCCTCGCGCCTGGAGGATAGCCCGGGCCTCCTCGTCCGTCACGGGCATCTGCGTCCTGTGCTGCAGGGCAATCCTCAGCGCCCGGACGCGCTTGTCCTCCTCGGCCGTGGCCGCCGCGCTCGCCTCCGCCGCCCCAGAGCCCCCTCCTGCCACCGCATCCTCCGCGTCCGCGCCGCTGTAAGTAGAATCCGAAGCTCCGGCGGACGCAGCAAGTGGCTGCGAACTGTGCCCGGTGTCGGTATGGCGCGTCGCTAGTTTCTCTAAAACCACAGGCAAACTCGACGGCGCTGTCCATGTTCGCCACGCTTGTCGCTCTCGCCTGCGGCGCGACCGAAGCTGCCGTAGAGGACCCGCACGCCAACGGCCTCTATAAGCGGGACTCGCCCGTCACCTCGCTCACCTCCGCGCGGCTCGCTCAGCTCGTCGAGGGCGGCACTCCGACGCTGGTAGAGTTCTACGCCGAGTGGTGCGGGCACTGCCAGCAGTACGCCAAGACCTACGAGAAGGTCGCGGCCGCGCTACGCTCCGACGTGCCCGGGCTGCTCGTCGCCGCGATCAACTGCCCGTCGCACGAGAAGGACTGCTCCAGCCACGGCGTCCGCTCCTACCCGACCATCAAGCTGTTTGGCGCGGTCAACTCGTCGGAAGGCGCCGCCGGAGCGGCCGCGCCGGACAGCAGCGCCGACGGCTCCGACGCTCCTCCTCACGAGGAGGACGAGGCGATGAAGGGAGGCGGGATCCTTGTCAAGGTGCGGTGAGATCGGTGAGATTTTAGCCAGAGGCAGTGAGAGGCAGTGGGATGCGCCGAGATCCAGGACACTCCAGTGGTGGTGGTGGGAGGCAGCAGTAGGTGGCTGTGGGCGTCCGCCCCCGGGTCGGCCGAGTGCGACCTCGCCACTGATCGCTCTGCACTCCTGGAGTAGGCTCGGTCGCCAGACGCCTTGGCAGCCTTCGCCCGCGCACACCTCCCCGCCGCCGCGCACCTCGCAAAAGTGCTCGCCGCCGCACACAGCGCACACCTCCCCGCCGCCGGCGCAGACGCCTCCACCTCAGACGCCGCGACCGCCGCTGCCAACGCCACCTCCGACACCGCCGCCGCCACCGCCACCGCCGCCGCCACCGCCACCGCCACCGCCGCCACCGCCACCGCCGCTGCTGCGGTGGCAGCAGCCGACGCGGCCGCCACAAAAGTGTCCTCCGCCTCCGCCTCCTCCGCCGCCGCCACTTCCACCGCCTCAGGCGCCGCTTCCGCCGCCGCCACACCGCCGCCGAAGCCAAGCAAGGATGCGGTCGGCGATGAGGAGGTTGGCCCAAGCAAGGAGAAGGTTGGGCCCGTGCAGCCGGCGCTACGGACGGCGAGCGGCGGCGGTGGCGGGATCGGCGGAAGGCACAGCGGCAGCGGCAGCGGAGGAGGAGGAGGAGGAGGAGGAGGAGGCGGAGGAGGAGGCGGCGGAGGCGGCGGCGGAGGCGGCGTCGGAGAAGGAGGCGGCGGCGGAGGCGAAGGCGGAGGAGGCGGAGGCGAAGGCGGAGGCGGCGGAGGCGGCGGAGGCGGCGCTAGCGGAGGCGGCGAGGCAGCGGCCGCGCACAAGGTTGCCATGTCTCCGCCAGGTGGGTGTCTAACTCAGTGGATGAGTCTCGCTGTGAGGTAAGTCACCGGGTTGCCATGTCTCCCCCCAGGCGGCTCTCCGCTGCCGCGCCGGCCCCAGCTGCTGCCCGTCCCTGCGGCGGACGTGCTGTACGCGGCCCGCCACTCGCTGCTCCGGGAGGTGCGTTCATTAACATGAAGCAACGGTGTTAATTAACTCACACGCGGCCCGCCACTCGCTGCTCCGGGAGGTGCATTCATTAACATGAAGCAACGGTGTTAATTAACTCACACGCGGCCCGCCACTCGCTGCTCCGGGAGGTGCATTCATTAACATGAAGCAACGGTGTTAATTAACTCTCCGAGGTGAGACACGCCGCGGCGGCGGTGGCGACGCCGCGAGGGTCGCAGGGCACGGCGGCGGAGGCGGCGGAGGCGGCGAGGCGATTGGGGGCGCTGCGGCTGTGGGTGTCGGCGCTGGCGAGGGGGGTGCCGAGAGCCGTCGATGGAGGCTTGCTCGCGCGACGGTCTTTGCAGGTGGTTGCTGGTTCTGGCGGCGTGTGTTGAGGGGTCCTCCACGCGGCGGTAGGCTTGCTCGCTCGAGGGCTGGCGGAGCTCGAGGTTGAGATGGACGCGTGGGAGATATGGGGAGATGTGGGGAGATAGAGCGAGATAGAGGGCTGGCGGAGCTCGAGGCGCGAGATATGGGGAGATATGGGCAGATATGGGGAGATAGAGCGAGATAGAGGGCTGGCGGAGCTCGAGGCGCGGGATATGGGCAGATATGGGCAGATATGGGGAGATAGAGCGAGATAGAGGGCTGGCGGAGCTCGAGGCGCGCGATATGGGGAGGTATGGGGAGATAGAGGCGTGGGAAGAAGCGGACATATGGGGAGATCTGGGGAGATCTGGGGAGATCTGGGGAGATCTGGGGAGAGATGGCTGTGAACAGGTTGAGATGGACGCGTGGGAGGAGGCGGACTTGCCGGGCGAGCAGCAGTGGGCCGGCATGCTGCAGCGAGCCGGCGTCGCGAGCCCGCCGCCAGCCCCTTTGCCTCTCGGGGGTGGAGGAGTGAGTGAGTCTCGACCAGTATCTCTCGGCTAGGCATCTCCGAGTCGATCGGCAGCCCGTACACCTCGGAGGCCGCGACTCGGCTCGTGATGTGCACGTCGGCGATGCCTGCTGCGTCCCTTCCTTAGACCTAATTGCATCCGCGGCAAACTCATTAGGCTCGTGATGTGCACGTCGACCATGCCGGCGCGGCACGGCTACCCTTGCTCGCTCTGGCCCCTCCTCCTCACGCCGCTCGCTCGCTCTTCACACCCTCCTGCTCACACCCCGCAGCTGTGAACAGGCTCCTCTTCCACACGCTGCTCGCTCGCTCTTCACACCCTCCTGCTCACACCCCGCAGCTGTGAACAGGCTCCTCTTCCACACGCTGCTCGCTCGCTCTTCACACCCTCCTGCTCACACCCCGCAGCTGTGAACAGGCTCCTCTTCCACACGCTGCTCGCTCGCTCTTCACACCCTCCTGCTCACACCCCGCAGCTGTGAACAGGCTCCTCTTCCACACGCTGCTCGCTCGCTCTTCACACCCTCCTGCTCACACCCCGCAGCTGTGAACAGGCTCCTCTTCCACACGCTGCTCGCTCGCTCTTCACACCCTCCTGCTCACACCCCGCAGCTGTGAACAGGCTCCTCTTCCACACGCCGCTCGCTCGCTCTTCACACCCTCCTGCTCACACCCCGCAGCTGTGAACAGGCTCCTCTTCCACACGCTGCTCGCTCGCTCTTCACACCCTCCTGCTCACACCCCGCAGCTGTGAACAGGCTCCTCTTCCACACGCCGCTCGCTCGCTCTTCACACCCTCCTGCTCACACCCCGCAGCTGTGAACAGGCTCCTCTTCCACACGCTGCTCGCTCGCTCTTCACACCCTCCTGCTCACACCCCGCAGCTGTGAACAGGCTCCTCTTCCACACGCTGCTCGCTCGCTCTTCACACCCTCCTGCTCACACCCCGCAGCTGTGAACAGGCTCCTCTTCCACACGCTGCTCGCTCGCTCTTCACACCCTCCTGCTCACACCCCGCAGCTGTGAACAGGCTCCTCTTCCACACGCCGCTCGCTCGCTCTTCACACCCTCCTGCTCACACCCCGCAGCTGTGAACAGGCTCCTCTTCCACACGCTGCTCGCTCGCTCTTCACACCCTCCTGCTCACACCCCGCAGCTGTGAACAGGCTCCTCTTCCACACGCTGCTCGCTCGCTCTTCACACCCTCCTGCTCACACCCCGCAGCTGTGAACAGGCTCCTCTTCCACACGCCGCTCGCTCGCTCTTCACACCCTCCTGCTCACACCCCGCAGCTGTGAACAGGCTCCTCTTCCACACGCTGCTCGCTCGCTCTTCACACCCTCCTGCTCACACCCCGCAGCTGTGAACAGGCTCCTCTTCCACACGCTGCTCGCGCACGCCTCTCCGGAGCACGCGCCGCAGACGCTCGAGGTGACTCCTGCGCTGTCCCTGTTGCGGCTCGCCACCCATGACACCCGTTGAAGCTCTGTCCTAAGTACTCTGACCACCTCGGCAGGCGATCCTGCGCTACGTCGACGTCTTCTTCTCGTGCGCCGAGTGCGCGGCCGCCCCCCTCCCCTCCGGCCCTCCGACTGTGAACGGCGTCTCTTCACAGCTCCTCCCTCCCCTCCGGCCCTCCGACTGTGAACGGCGTCTCTTCACAGCTCCCCCCCCCCCCCCCATCGCCGTGGCGTGCGGAAGGTGCGTCGCTCACTTCCGCTCTCTCGCTCTGCACCTCTCGCCGCCGCCCGCCGCCGCCCCCGCCGCCAGCGCCGCCAGGGCCACCAGCGCCGGCGGGGGAGGAGGAGGAGGCGAGGAGGAGGAGGAGGAGGCGAGGGGCGCTGCCGCGCCGCTGGCGGGTGGCAGCGCTGCGTTCAGGCGTCGAGCGACGGGCTGCGCTACTGGAGACACCGGTGGGTGACGAAAGAAAAGCATCGGCTCGCCGAGCAGGCGCCTCTCGCCCGTCGCGTCGGGCGGATCTCATGGACAAGCTTGCCTGACTAGTTCTTCACAGGCTCGGCTCGCCGAGCAGGCGCCTCTCACCCGTCGTGCGGCGGATTCGGCTCGTCGCGTCCCGCCGCGTGCAGGCGAGAGGCTTGATTAAGTAATTAGAATTACTAATTCACTAGTTCATTCGCCTCGTCGCGTCCTGTCGCGTGCAGGCGAGAGAAGCGATGCAGATGCACATGCACATGCACATGGACAGACGCCCCCACTGAATGTTGCACGCTCATGCCACACAACATAACAAACATCTTGTGTGCTTCGCGCCGCCTGCTGCCCACATTCAGAGTCCTATTGACGTACTATCAACGGCATCAGTGCTCACAACATGGATACTCGCAAATGGCGGTGGTAATCGCATCGCCGCCGTGCAGGCTGCGTCGCTCGGCGGCGCCAGCGCGGACCAGGCTAAGTTCGCCGCCATCGCCGCCAATGCCGCCGCGGCGGCGGGGGTGGCGCCGCCGCCAGAGGAGGCGCGCGGATCGGCCGAGATCACCCGAGATCACCCCGAGATCACCCCGAGATCACCCCGAGATCACCCCGAGATCACCCCGAGGGTACCCGAGATCACCCGAGGGTACCCGAGAGTACCGAGCTGTGGCTGAGATCACCCGAGATTGCCCGAGATTGCCCGAGATTGCCCGAGATTGACCTTCAGGCGCGGGACGCGGTCGAGCTGTGGCTGTGGGCTGCTCACAACGAGGTCAACGCGAGGCTGCGCAAGGAGAGAGCCTTAGGGTGTAGCCGAGAGGTAGCCGAGGTCTAGCCGAGGTGCAGCCGAGGTCTAGCCGAGGCATAGCCGAGGTGTAGCCGAGATGTAGCCGAGGTGCGGCCGAGGCATAGCCGAGGTGCGGCCGAGGTGCAGCCAAGGTGTAGCCGATCCCGCCTGTGCCTGTTGGTTCACTAGCTGATCTCGCCACTGGTTGAGTGACAGGAGATCGCCGCCGGCGATCACGCCTTCGCC